CTTTAAATCTTGTTCTTAGTTGAACTTATCGAACATTTTTTTATCTTTATGCGATCAACCATTCCAGCCTTGGTTCTTGATTCAAGAGAAATCACTGGTTCAATGTTCCTCATATAATCTTTTAGCATCGGAGTTCGTATCGAATCTTTTGTGGGTCACAAAGTACATCCTATAATAGGGTTACAATAATTGGTGTCAAAGCCTTGGCTCTGAAATTGGGTTTTTTTCACTTCCTTTTTGTTTTGTAGTTTCAATTCTTCTTGTTTCCTATCCGTTGAGTCTTCATCCGTTTCTCGACTCATTCACATCAAAATAATCATACCAAGAACATTCAAGAATTGTTTAGTGCACACCAGTGCACCAACACAATATTTTTTGGTTTTTGGCCTTGTGTTTGATCTTTTCCTTTAAGTTTGCGTGAAAATTGAAATTGAAGAATACCACAAAGAATGTTTTTAAAGGAAAAAATAAGGAATGTTGAAGAAAAGCATATTATTTTCAAGAAATCCTTTCTTGGAATTTTTGTGGTGTTATTTTACGAGAAACACTATCTTTATTATATTTGGTACATATAATATACTTGAAACTAGATCTTGATGTGAAAATTCATAGACCAATTTCAAGAAATTATTTTCTTGGAATTCTTGGGATTTTCCATTGTTCTTTTGATGTTTCTTTCTTGAGTCAGTCCTCGAATATTGTTATCCTTCTTCTTGTTTCTTGAGTTCTTGGTTTCAAAATTTCAATGTCAGAATTTTTGATTGAGTGTAGCTAGTTCATTAGAAATTTTGACAAAGAAAGCATAAAGTTGAAAAATGCAAGAACGTTGAGCTTATTATTTTTAAAAAGCCAATCTAGTTTTGTGCATTATCTGAAAGGTCTTGAGCTGAAATTCTTTTGAAAAGGGATAGAATGATTGAAGGCAAGCTAGCAAGGATCCTTACATGTTTTGGAGGGCCATCAACAATCGAAGAAGCACACAAAGACATGTCCAAGTTACATGGGCCAAGAGATCAAGTGCAACAAAGAAGGAAGAAGGACAAACCTTCGTGCATTTGATTGAAGCCATAGAGAAGTAAGAAGGATGTATGAAAACGAGCATAAATTTTAGCACAATTGTTGAATTTTCGTCCTTGAGTATAATCCAGAGGCATGATTCGTATATACGCGTTTGTCAAATGTTATCAGAATTTAAGGGTCAAAATCCGTACTTTAGGGGTCAGTTCAGAAGTTTTTCTGTTTTGATTTATTTGAAGTGTATCTATGTTATTTTTGCAGTATCTTAGTTTTATGTAGTTATTTTATCATTTTTGTCTAGTTATCAAACACTATTTTATCATGGTTATCTAGATTCTTCATCTAGTTGGCTTTCTTTGAATTCAAATCAAACCTTTGTTACTAGGGTACACTCCGCAACAGGGTTCATATCAAGCCCCCGTTTGGCCCCCATTTTTGGTAATGAAAATGGGGGAATAGTGTTTTGTTGAAAAAATGAGTGGTTGAAAAAGAAGGAAAAATTTTCGATTTACGTGTACTATTATTTTATGGAAGATTGTGTGGTTGAAAATATGAGAGAGAGAAATAGAATGTAATTTAATGGGGATCAAACAGGGGCCAAAATATGACAAAAATGCCTGAAATACACGCAAGTGAAATGTCCCAAAAAACACCAAAATTGTACCAATATGCTTGAAATGTATCAAATATGTGCAAAAACAGATAATCTACGCACGTGAAAATGAACAGACTAATACGTTGTAGAACCTATTAAAATGCTTGTGTGAACCCCATTGTAGGATGTAAAACTCAAATAATAATTGACACAGACCGTGAGAAAAGCTAAAATCAAATGGCGAACCCAGACCAAATGATTGTTTGAAACAAGAATCATGGCCTGAAGAATTAACGCCAAAAAGATTGGAAACCTTTGATTAGATCTTCAGTAATTGAACTACGAACATGATTGAAAATGAAATTTTCACTTTATAATAATCTTTCGAATAATGTACTTTCTTCATACAGTGAGTTAAGCCTTATAAAGTTCCTTAGAGAATTTGACAAAGAAAGCATAGAGAGGAAAAAGGCAATGGTGTTGAGCTTATAATTGAGCAAAAGCCAATCTAGTGCTAATGCATTTTCCAAAAGGTCTTAAGGTCAAATCCACTTTTAAAAGGAAGGGAACGCAAATCCAAAACTTTTTCTTATTTTTTAACTACAAATTTCCCATCAATACAGTACATAAAATTCATTCCTCCCCAAAAAATGGGGCTCAAACAAGTGCCTAGTTTCCATCATAATCTATTTTATCATGTTTATATTGTTGTTTTATAAGTTAGGATTGTTTGAGTCTGCCTATATACGAGACTTCACTGTGCAAAGAACAACACGTTATTTGAGTGGTTAATCGTAAAGTGAGATTCGCCATCAAGCTTGTTCCCAAAAGAACTTATCGAACATTTCCAATCTTTGTAAGGTTCATTCATTCCAGCCTTGATTCTTGACTTAGGAAATCAAGGGGAAAAGGACATTAATTTGTTTTTAGCTTTCTTTAAATTCATCTCATATCTTGTTTGGTTTCAAGGGTTCACATCAAAATACGACAAAAATACTTGAAATATGTGCAACATAAGAACTATCCAGAAAACATCGTATTTTACCAATATGCTCAAAATATATCAGAAGCATTTTTCAAATCTTCACACTTGTCAAATGGTGTTGTCTAACTTTAAGGGTCAAATTCCATTGTTCAAGATTCAGTTTTAGCTTTTTATATTTTGAGTTAGTTTAAGGGTATTTGTGTTATTATTTTTGTAGTATTTATGTTTTATCTAGTTGTTTTACAAGTAATATGTTAATAAGCTTTTTAATTTTATCATTTTTATCTAGCTTCATTCATACTCGATTTTATCATTATTATCTGGTTTTTTACGAGTTTGGATTGTTTGATAGGAACGTTCATTGTGCAAAGAACAACACATTATTTGAGTGATTAATCTTAAATTGAGATTTTTGCTGCCAATTTAATAGTCGATCTTTCTTTAGTTTGACCTCTTGATGTTAACCCAAAATAATTTGTAAATTAGAAAGTTTTCTTCGTTTTTTTTTTGGATTTTGAAACATATAAAAATATAATGGGAGGTAACTATTCATATAAACATAGGCAATTATGGCAAAATTTGGTTTTGGAAAGCAATTGGAGGCAACTCAGCAACTATGGATTGAACAACAGCGGAAGAAAAATATATTTGGCCTAACAAATATCTATCAAAAATTATGAAGTTTTTATAGGGACTAAAGCATTCATATATGTACCTCATATAAAAATTTTGGCGCTTGATGATAATGTTTGATGCACTAACATAGTGCTCGAATATGCTGCAAAGGAAACTCGAATTCAAAACGACGCAATTTACCAAAACGGGCATAACTTTTTCTCTAGCTAATATTTTAAGGTAATTCCAATTTTTTTAGAAGATTCATAGACCTTTCAAACACCACTAATTTCACACTAAAATATGCAAGTTAGCCCAAATTATACAATTTTCAAATGGAAGACAAAATCTGAAATTATAATCAACAGTATATAAACTTCGGTCATAGTCATTCCAACGTTTCTAAATTGTGGTTGACATGAGTAGCATATAAAACTGAACGAAATAGATGTTTAAATATTTTTAAAAGTGCTCTCAAATTATTCATAGTACGTTTTCATAAATTAAAATTTTACTAGAAAGTTGAAAGCTTTTCAGATTGCCGAGCACTTGCCGCTATGCCAAACCGCCGCCATGCCTCAAATCAACCTGTGAGATTATAGTGGGTGTGATTACTACAAATAACATGATAAAATGATCAAATGCATATATGTTTTCAGAAATGCAAACTTTGATTTATTCGTGTCACCGTCAATTTATTTCTCTTATTTGAACCACCAAACGGTGCCTCCTTCATGAGCAACACAATAATAGTGTCACCTTCAATCTCTTTCTCTTATTTGAGCCACCAAATGATGCCTCCTTTATGAGTGACACAATAATATGTTTGGTGCAAAACGAAAACAAATACTTCTTATACCACTTACAAAAGTGCCAAGAACACCCCTACCTTAATGCTTGTAATTTGAATATCCTTTTTGCATTCAATATGAAATAAAATCCAACGTACTCATTGCCTCCTCTTTAGAAAAATTTCAGATTCAAAGTGCCTTAAGCTATGGCAAAAAGGACCAAAAAAAAAAAGAAAAATTATGTATATGTAAATGGAGACCCATAAATGACTTGAAAGAAATGAAATGTAAAATCCCTTGGCCTTTGAAAAACAAAATGTTGGCAGCCCTTCATTGAACATTTAAGAGAATAATTGTTTAGGTTTCATTTCAATGTATTTTATGTGAGGAATAAATGCAAAGTTTTTTGGCATTTTAAAAGTTTTTAGTGTATATATATTGAAATGAAACATATAGGTAACGTGGTATACTTTTGTGTTTATATAATTCCATGTATAAATCTCACACATGTTAGAAATTTGAATAAATTGGAATGAAAAGTTTTTTAAAAAAAAAATGTTTCATTCATGCCATCCAGTTAAAGGCAAATTTAAAATTGTTTAATTGGTAAATTTTAAGTTTCATTTTAACATCATTCGGTTACATTGGAAGCTGTTGCAATGTGCGTGTGTGTTTTTGGAATTTAACTTATAAAATTGTTTCATATAATTAAACAATTAATATAATAATTTGATGTTTCATTTCATGCATTTAATTTTGTTGTTAAATGTCTTGACTATTCTACCAAGTTTTCAGACGTGTTTGATTAGTGCTTTGAATATTCAATCAATTATGAAGGTTTTTTTTTTTTTTTTAAATTTTGGTCACTTAACTCTCCCCCACTTAAAATAATTTCGTCCTCGAAATTTAACTTACTTGTTTAAGGAAGTTAGGATACTTGGCTAGAACGTCTTCTTCCCTTTCCCAAGTATCCTCATCCTTACTATGTTTATCCCACTCAACTTTGACTAATGAAACCCTTTGATTTCTCAAACAAGGTTTTTCTCTCCAGAATCACTGCAGGAGCTTCTTCATACGTCATATTACTCTGGACATCCAATGATCGAATATTCACAACATGGTTAGGATCTAAAATATACTTTCTCAACATAGAAATGTGAAATACGTTGTGCACTGCTGAAAGCTCGGGTGGCAATGCTAATTGATATGCCACATTCCCAATCTTTTCAAGAATCTCAAATGGACCGATAAATCTAGGGCTTAGCTTCCCTTTCTTTCCAAATCGTAGTATTCCCTTCATTGGTGCCACTTTGAGAAATACTTCCTCTCCAATCTTGAAAGTCGTCAGTCTGAAGATGGCATGCAGTACTAAATGTTAACTTGGTACCCATAGCTTTCTGAAGGCTTATCAAAAACTTCGAAGTAAACCTTGGGTCTTTGTCAGATATGATAGAAATTGGAACACCATGAAGCCCCATAATCTCTCTGATATAAACCTGTGCGAATTGTTCTAAGCTATAGGTTGTTCGGACTGGCAGAAAATGAGCAGATCTTGTCAATTGATCTACAATCATCCAAATTGCATCATGATCACTCATTGATCTAGGAAAACCAATGACAAAATCCATTGCAATCTTTTCCCATTTCCATTCGGGTATGTCCATAGGGTTCAACAGCCTTGACGGCTTCTGATGTTCAGCCTTCACTTGCTAACAAGCCATACATTTGGATACAAACAAAGCTATATTTCCCTTCATATTTCTCCACCAACATCTGTCACGCAAATCTCGATACATTTTGGTTCCACCAGGGTGTACGGCCTAAGGATCTTAGTGAGTTCAGTCATAATCTCATTCCTTAACACTTCATCCTTCGATAGGCACAATTGACCCTTAAAACATCAAGGCTTTGTCTTTGGCTGTTTCAAATCCTTTTCTCTTCTCAGTTCCCACATCACTTGATCTTTTCCAAAAACGGATCATTTTTCTGAGCAGCTACTTTCTGTCCCGGAGTGTCAGTTTCACAATAAAACTTGCTAATTTAGCCGATGTCCTTACTGGTGACGTTAATACTTCATTTCTCAAGTTTTCAAAATCTCTTATTAAATAATCATGTCTTGTACATAGTGCTGACAACTATCTCATGTTCTTTCTACTTAGCGCATCAATAACTACATTAGCTTGACCCGGATGGTACGGGATATTGTAGTCGTAATCTTTCACTAATTCTAACCACCCTCACTGTCTCATATTCAATTTCTTCTAAGTGAAGAAGTATTTGAGACTCTTATGATTGGTCCAGATCTCACACTTGCTCCCATATTGGTAGTGGCGCCAAATCTTCAAGGCGTGCACTATCGCTACTAGTTCCAGATCATGTGTGAGGTAATTTTGTTCATATTGCTTCAACTACCTCGAAGCATAAGCTATCACTTTCCCATGTTGCATCAAAACACATCCTAAACCAAGCTTGAATGCATCACTGTGAATCACAAAACCTTCTGAACCATCGGGAATAGTTAAAACCGGTGCAGATACGAGCCTGTCCTTTAACTCTTGAAAACTTTGTTCATATTTCTCCAACCATACGATCTTAGTACCCTTATGAGTGAACTGTGTCATAAGACCTTTAATCTTGGAGAATCATTCTGTAAATCGCCGATAATAGCCAACAACCCTAGAAAACTCCACACTTCTCCAAAATTTACAGGTTTCGACCAATTGGTTATGGCCTCAACTTTGGATTGATCCAATTCAATTCCTCGTGCTGAGACAGTATGGCCTAGAAATCTGACTCAATCTATCCAAGATTTACATTTCTTGAATTTGGCATATAACTTTTCCTCATGCAGTGTTTCTAAAACTATCCTCAGATGTTCTTCATGTTGATGATAATATCTCAGTTATATCAATATGTCATCAATAAATACGATGACAGGCATGTCCAAATACCAACAGAACATCTATTCATTAAGTTCATAAACACTGTATGGGCATTCGTCAAGCAAAGGGCATCACTGTAAACTCATAATGCCCATATCGGGTCCTAAACGCCGTCTTTGGTATGTCAACCCACTTAATCTTCAACTGATGATAGCCTGACCTTAGATCAATTGTTGAGAGCACGGAGGTGACCTTTAACTGAGCAAATAGATCCTCAATCTTAGGAAGGGGATACTTATTCTTAATCGCCAACTTATTTAGTTCACAGTAGTTGATGCACATCGTCGTAGTACCATCTTACTTCTTTACAAAGAGTACCGGAGCTCCCCATGGAGATACACTTGGTTTAATGAACCCTTTGTCTAGAAGTTCTTCAAGCTGCATCTTCAACTCTTGTAATTTCTTTGGTGCTATTTGGTATGGGGCTTTAGACACAGGAGTAGCTCCAAGTATCAGATCTATCATGAACTGCATTTGTCTATCGAGCAGAGTACCTGGTAGATCTTCGGGAAACATGTTAGCATACTCTTGTACTATTGGCACTTCATCTAATATACTTTAGCTTTAGTGGAGGTGCTAGTGAGACTGACAAGATATCTTAGACAGTTGGCCTTTCTCATCAACATGCTCTCTGCTTTTAAAGCTGAGATAATATGAGGAAGTGCCTTATTCCTCGATCCATAAAATCTGAACTCCTTTTCTCCCGATCTTCAAAAAATTGCCTCTTTCTCAAAACATACTATCATGGCTCGATTCTCATCCAACCAATCCATGCCTAAAATAATATCAAAATCTTACATCTTTATAATATACAAGTCGGCCTTTAAAGTCAATCCACAAAATTTATCTGTTCCCCTTTGTTATCCTATCAGTATCAATAGTTTCCCCTGATGGCATACTTACCTCTAGTATACTATCATTTTTTCTGACATGAAGCATTAATCTTAACTAGGCATGCAGTAGATATGAACATATGTGTCGCACCGGAATTAATCAGGACATAAACAGGAATATTAGTGATGGATAAAATACCTGCAATCACATCTAATTTTTGGCAACCTCATCGTAAGTCAAAGCAAACACCCTTGCTTTTCATTTTTTTCTATTATTCGGGTTTCTTAATTGATGGGCACGAAGAAGCAAAATGGCTGGGTTGACCAAACTTATAGCAGACATACTTTCCATACAGATATTCTCCTTTGTGAAAGGCACTTAGGACATGGGGATACAGGATTGCATGACTGACCTGCATGCACCTGCTTCTTAAACTGTCCCATATTCTCATTTTTGTCCTGCCACTTCCTTTTATCGAAGTCTTTACACTATCAATGATTTACCAACTTCACACCCGAGTAGGTCACTATTTGAGCTTTCTTTACCACCGCTTGAAAAGTGGTGAGATCATGGGAACTTACAATGTACCTAAGTCTCTGGGCGCAGGCCACTCTCGAACGTTTTGCCTTCATGAGCTCGGTACTTACAAGATGCGTGCCATATCAGGACAATTCCTTGAATTTACTCTCATACTCAAAAAGTTCCATATCTCCTTGTACCAGTCTTAAGAATTTCATCTACTTGTGGTCTCACATAGCTTGTGGGAAAAACTTTTCTATTAGCTCCATCTTGAACTGATCCCAAGTTTACATTATTCCTCCTTGGTGCGAGAGTGTGATGCAGATTCCTACCAATGGCCTGCTCTCCTGATTAGCATAAACTCTGCACATAATACATTTTGATTTTTTGGGGAAGAGATGTGTCTAAAAATCTTCACGATAGTATGCAACCACTCATCAACTGCTAGAGGGCCCTTTCCACCGTCAAAGGTAGGTGGTCAGTGTCTACGAAATTGTTCTACTGTCGGAATAGGTGCTGCAGTCGAGTACATTGGAGGTACCAACGGAGCTTGTGTTGCTAGTGAAGTAGGTGCTGGAGATGTAACCTGAATAGCTTGAGGTACTAGAGGTGTAACTTGAGCAGCCAAGGCCCATTTCACTCATCAATCTCCCACCTAAACTCCCTAATTGTCCTCGCTCATGCCATATTCCTATACGCCAGAATAATTGCAATCTCATTTAAAGGAGTCGGCGATATTTGTGCAACATAGGAAAAAGATTCATGGCTCAACATCCCTATCATTGTCTCATTCAAATCCTTCAAGAGACAAAAAAAAGTAGTAAAAGATCGTCCGGCACTATTCCATAGGATAAACGAAATCCTACTAAACATCAACAATTAAATCTGGATAAAAACTACTAAAATTCACTTATTCATCATTGCCATCATAATCATTAATTCAGCCTCTATGAATCCTAGGTTTGTTAAAAAACTAAAGCTCATCGTCTGAAATAGGTGGAGTGCATCTTCACGAATGTGCATCTCAGTAGGTACAGTATTGTCTTCGAGGATCTCAAGTCGGGCCAGCTCCCACCACTCAATTAGCTCTGCGTAGAAGGCCTCATAATTAATCTCTCGATGAAAGGTAGGCACAATAACCTCCCACAAATAATTATAAATCGATTTGACCACCTCTAGCCACTCTTCTGGCAAGGTCTCAATAAGGAGGCATGTGGCTCGACGACCAATGATCACATAGCCTAGTCATCTCACTTCACTCCATCTTACTAACATCTATCAAATGTGTTGGCCCATGTTGAGCATTGGATTCCACCGATACTCTTCATATTGCCTTAAGATCTCACATCAATGAGGTATCGATGAACTTGTCTTCAGAGCCGGTCCTGTGGTTTTCGAGGCCCGAGGCAAGCTTCATAAATTAGCCCCCCAAAATCAAAAACGGTGTATCATATAACCTATTGCTAACTTAAAACTTAGAAGTAAAACAACAATCATATAAGCTAACCAGGCTACAATATATTCAATGGCAAGTTAGAGCAAGTCATTACTTACCTGAGACGTAGAATTTCCACTAAAATTATGGAATCACACAATGCGCACCTTGAAAATTCCACCATCACAACTCACAAGCTTGAAATAAAAATTTAACATCAAACACCAATAAAAACATACAATGACCTAATGAAATGCCAATTTATTGCTCAATGAAATGCCAATGACCTAACCTTCCTTAGGGTTGCAGCGTATGCTTCACAGACTTAGCTCATTGATGATTAAAAATTGCATAATCTAACACCTTTTCTCTTATCTAATAATCAATTTTTCTACCAACACACTGAATTCTTCCTTCTTATCACCAACTACTGAAACCATATAAGAAATTTGAAAATACAATTCTAAGTTACAAAAGAAATACCAGAAACTTACATCAGGATTCAGGTGCCGTAGTGAACTTGGGAGATCGTCGGTCCAATGTAGGCTTTGAAGGAACAGATCTAGGAGACCGATCAAATGAAAAGCAAGAACTTAGCTGTAGTGGAGAGGGTGAATCAACTTCAAATTTAGAAATCCCCCTGCCGGGCTTGCTCTCCCGAGGAGTAGCCGGTGATACCTTTTCGTTGGGAGTCTCAGATAAAGAAGACCTATGAAAATGAGAAAATCATAATTAGTCTGCCCAAAATAAATCAAAGCCCATAGATCATATCTACGAAAACCTCTAGTGCAGTGATATATTACGAAACTGCTACTGAAAAGTTAGGGATTGAGTGAAATAACATAAAAAAATAAAAAATTAAGGCATAAAACTATAAAAATTCGAAGCCCATCAACAAGAAAAAAGGCCAAAAGGACAAAACAAAAAAAGCCCAAGAAAACCTGAGATGAGATTCACTTACCTGGATTTGGTAGACATGGTTGGAGAGAAAGTTGGAAGATGAGTGCCGCAGTGCCGTCGCCGGTCCGGTGGAGCAGAGAGGTGAGAGGCGATGAAAATGAGGCCCCTTGGGGTTTCTTCCTTCGATTGAAAAAAAAAAATAGAGGGGCCATGGAAATGAGGCCCCCTTGGGTCTTGGGCCTGAGGCGCAGGCCTCAACCGCCTCGCCTCAGGACCGGCCCTGCTTGTCTTCCTACAAGTTTTCTTAATCCTTACCATATGAGTCATACCAATTATTCAAAATCCAATGAGTGGGTGTCTAATAGATTTTAGTTAATTCTCAAGGACTTAAACAAACATTTAATCTCACCACATTCTCAAAAATACTTGGTACGAAATGATTATCCACAAAAGTGTTCAGACTCCAACATACGTTGATATTCATACATACATTTCAAATATTGCATCTCAAATAAACTTTCTCATAATCATCACATAGATGCAATCACATTTATGAAACTTTCTTTACCTCGAAATTCGCATGGAGCAGCTATGAAGGTACAGTGCTCAGGATCCTCATTAGAAAAAAATTTTGATCAACGTCATCAAAGAAATGGTTTCTAATGCAAGTCTACAGGAAACAAAACCATGCTCTGATACCAAGTTGTAACATCCCAAATTCTTGGAACCCGAAGCACTAAAAATAGTCGATCTTTCTTTAGTTCGACGTCTTTGATGTTAACCCAAACATAATTTGTAAATTAGAAAGTTTTTTTTTTTTTTTTGAATTTGAAACATATAAAAATATAATGGGATGTAGTTATTCATATAAACTCAGGCAATTGTATCGAAATTTGGTTTTGGAAAACAATTGGAGACAATTCAACAACTACGAATTGAACAACAGTGGAAGAAAAATATATTTGGCCTAGAAAATGTCAATCAAAAATTATGAAATTCTTACAAGGACTAAAGCATTCATATATGTACTGCATATAAAAATTTTTGGGCTTGATGATAATGTTTTGACACACTAACATAGTGCTCGAATATGCTGTACAGCAAACACAGATTCAAAACAATGCAGTTTACCAAAACAGGCATAACTTTTTCTCTAATTAATATTTTAAGGTAATTCCAAAGCATACTATTAGAAGACTCACATCCTTCAAATGTCACTAATTTCACTCTAAAATATGCAACATAGCCCAAATTATACCATTTTCAAATGGAAGACAGAATCTGAAATTATAATCAGCAGTGTAAATAAACTTTGGTCATAGTCATTCCAACGTTTTCTAAATTATGGTTGACATGAGTAGCATATAAAATTGAACGAAACAAATGTTTAAATTTTTTTTAAAAGTGCCGTCTAATTATCATACTACATTTACATAAATTGGAAATTTTACTAGAAAGTTGAAAGCTTTTCAGATTGCCGAGCAATTGCCGTTATGCCAAATCGTCGCCATGCCTCAAATCAACCCGTGAGATTATAGTGGGCGTGAGTACTACAAATAATACTCAGTAGGAAGATGCTAGAGTAAATGATAAAATACACATATGTTTTCAGAAATGTAAACTTTGATTATTCGTGTCACCGTCAATTTCTTTCTCTTATTTGAACCACCAAATGGTGCCTCCTTCATGATCAACACAATAATAGTGTCACCTTCAATCTCTTTCTCTTATTTGAGCCACCAAACGGTGCCTACTTCATGAGTGACACAATAATATGTTTGATGCAAAAAGAAAACAAATACTTCTTATACCACTTACAAAAGTGCCGGAAGCACCCCTGCCTTAATGCTTATAATTTGAATATCCTTTTACGTTCAATATGAAATAAAATCCAGCGTACTCTTTGCCTCCTCCTTAGAAAAAATTCAAATTCAAAGTGCCTTAAGCTATGGAAAAAGGGGCAAAACAATTTCATGTATATGTATAAATGGAGAGTATAAGTGACTTGGAAGAAATGAAATGTAAAATCCAATTGGCATTTGAAAAACAAAATGTTGGCAGCCCTTCATTGAACATTTAAGAGAAAAATTGTTTAGGTTTCATTTCAATGTATTTTATGTGAGGAATAAATGCAAAGTCTTTTGGCATTTCATAATCTTTGGCATTTTAAAAGTTTTTAGTATATATATATTGAAATGAAACATATAGGTTACATGCTATACTTTTGTGTATATATAGTTCCATGTATAAATCTCACACATGTTAGAAATTTGAATAAATTGGAATGAAAAGTTTAAAAAAAAAAAATGTTTCATTCATGCCTTCCAATTAAAGGCAAATTTAAAATTGTTTAATTGGTAAATCTTAAGTTTCATTTTAATATCATTCAGTTACATTGGAAGCTGTTGCAACATGTGAGTGTATGTGTTTTTGGAATTGAACTTATAAAACCGTTTCATATCATTAAACAAATAAAAGAAAATTTTGATTTTTCATTTCATGCATTTAAATTTGTTGTTAAATTTCTTGACTATTCCACCAAGTTTTCAAACGTGTTTGATTAGTGCTTTGAATATTCAATCAATTATGAAAGTTTTTTTTTTCTTTTTTGGTGGCTACATCAAGTGCAACGAGTGAGATACCTAGTTTCAAGACATTGAGGAAGGACAAACCTTCATGCATTTTGAATCAAGCTAAAGAGAAATAGGAAGGATGTACGAAAGTGCACATAAATTTCAGATCAATTGTTGAACTTTTTGAAACTGCACGTTTGTCAAATAGCGTTGTCAAACTTTGAGGTCAACTTCATTGTTTAATGCTAAGTTTGAGCTTTTTTTTATGTTGTGAGTTAGTATAAGAGGTACTTGCATTATTATTTTTGTAATATTTCATTTTTACCAAGTTATTTTATAAGTAATAAGGCTTATTTTATCATTTTTACATAGCTTCCATCAAACTCTATTTTAACATGATTATCTAGTTGCTGGTTCATTGTGCAAAGAACACCACATTATTTGAGTGATTAAGCGTAAAGTGAGATTTTCATTGTCAAGCTTGTTCCTAACTAAACAATTTAGAACTTATCGAACATTTCCAATATTTGTAGCATTCAACCATTCGAACTGTGGTTCTTGATTTAGGAGATCACTGGGTCAAGGATATTAAATTGATTTTTTGCTTTCTTTGAATTCATCTCAAATCTTGTTTGGTTTCTAGGGTACATGCCGCATCAGGGTTCACATCATCATATGACAAAAGTGTCTGAAATGAACACAAGCGAAATCTCCCAAAAAAACACCAAATTTTACCAATATGCTTGAAATATATCTTAAAAAATGTTCGAATATGCTGGAAACAAAATAATATACTCATGTGAAAATGAAGAAAACTACATGAAAATGTATAAAATTAGGCCATGACGTTCAAGACCTTGTTAAAATACTTGATGTGAGACTCAAACAAGATTTCACACGAACCCTGAGAAAGCTAAATTCAAATGAAAAACCCTGACCAAGTGATTGCTTGAAACAAGAATCAAGCCTTGCATGGTTGAACGCCCAAAATATCGAAAATTGTTGAGTAGATCATCGTAGTTGAATCAAGAACTACATCAAAAAAATAAAATTTCAATTTCTAGCAATCTCTCAAATAATGTACTTTCTACATAGAAGAAATAAAACCTTATATGGTTCCTTAGAGAATTTGACAAAGAAAGCATAGAGAGGAAAAGGGTAAGAGTGGTCAGCATATTATCTAGAAAAGCCGATTAGTGCTAATGCATTGTCCGAAGCATCTCGTTGTCAAATCCTTTTAAAAAGAGAGGGAATGATGAGAATTGTAGAAGGCAATCTAGCAAGGATCCTTTACGTGTTTTGAAGGAAACAATAACTAGGCCAAGAGAAAATAAGATTGAAGAAGCGTGCGAGGACCTATCCAAGTAGCTTATCCTTAATTTCAAAGTGATAAAATGAGTTATCGTTGTAAAGAGATTCTTGAGCCAGATGTGGGGTTGATTATTCATGTGCGATAAGTGTATAGTCATACTTAATATAAAAATGACAAGAGAAACAAAGAAATGGAGAGATAAACTAATAGAGGTAGAGAAGGAGAGTGTGTAAATAGCTATTAAAGGATAGTTTAGCGTTGGGTTTGTCTCTTATTTATATTGAAAATTCTTGACCTTTGTAGAAAAGTGAAATGAAATGGCTAGATGTTAAGCATGGTCAATGCATAAATAGTGTATTGTCATTAAAATGGTCAAATCAATACCTTTAGTCATGTGGTCAAATCAGTTCACTTAACTTAAAACTTGGTACAACTTACGCATGCGGTCAAATCAATTTCCTTTATTTATGTGGGCAAATCAAATATATTGGGTTGAAATATAGTGTAAATAATATATGTGGTCAATAAAATCTTACTTCCAAAATAACATTCTACTTAGGACCTCAAACTATTGTTCAATATCTAATAATTATGGTTATTAGACTAAACAAATAATCAACAAGATCATTAAGCCTTAATAATAGCCTACTTTAGTCCTAAATTTAAATTTAATTGATAGTAAAATTTGGGACTTTACAATATACTCCATTTAAAATAAATTTCGTCCTCGAAATATAACTTGGAATTCCTCGAAGAGTTGTGGGTACTTTTCTCGAATTTCCACTTCCAGCTTCCAAGTAGCATCTTCAACTAAGTGATTATGCCATCGCTACTTCACTAAAGGACTCAACTTATTTCTAAGTGCTTGAAATTTTTGATCGATAATTCGAGTGGTGCTTCATAACTCAAACCGCGTTATAACTCAATTTATTGATGATTAGTGAGATGGCTCAGATTAGGGACGTGCTTCATGCACATGGAAATGTGAAATACATCATGTGCTTTCTGAATGTTCAGGGGCTAAGGCAATCATTAATGCTACACTCCCAAAAAACCTCAAGATTTCGAATAGGCCAATGAATCTTGGTTACAACTTTCCCTTCTTAACGAAACATAACACTCCCTTCATCGGTGCCATTTTGAGGAATATTTTGTCACCTTCAAGAATTTCAAGCTCTTTATCCTCTTATCTATATAAATTTTCATTCTGTCTTGAGCCGTTTCATGGATCTTGTTGATAGCTCATAGAGTTTGTTCAGTAATCTATGGACCCAAAATCTTACGCTTGCTAACCTCATCCCAATAAACTGGTGATCTACATTTCCTATACAATG